CTTGCCTCTGGCTTTCTTAATAGATCGATCGGCTAAGGGACAAGTGACATGTTCAGATTTCATATACCTAGTAAGTGTCCGAGCTTCTCAAAAGGGATTCACGGATGTTGACTGCGAAGAAGATGATTTGGAATACTAAAACGCTGAAACCCTTACACAAATTCCAGAATTCCAAGTGTCTGCCATCGTCTTCACTCCTCTTACCGGCGCTTTGATTTGGGTGTAATTTTGCGGAGAGAATCGTCTTCATTTGAATCTACGGAGGACCTGATTCTCGCCTGACCACTTCGTCTACCACCGCTGGCCGATTTCTGGCTATCAACTACGTATACGGTATACCGCACTACTTAATACATCAGGTTTTCCATTGCATTGCAATTGCAGAGAAAACTGAGTCTAGCGAGTTAAGTGACTAAAGGGGGCCACGAAGACGGATGTACTTGTCGGCTGGGTTTTGTTTGAGCTTAAATCAGCCCAAACTGAAACATGGACCAAAATCTTCAAATCAATGGGCCAAAATCCAAATACTGAATTGCAGAAATGTATGTTTTGGATATTATGCAGACTGAAATACAGAATTGATCACAAAAAATTTATCAAGAATCAAAAGAGAAAAATAGAAGGGAGTTCATTTGGCGTAGTTGGAGTTTATTGTTGTGCATAAGTGACTTCCAAACCAGCCTGTGAAGGGCAAATATGAAGAGTTGGCTCAGATCAGATTTTACAGACGTCTAGAAATTTGGAATAACAAATTCTAGATATTAAATCCTAACTGGTCATTGGTGACATGAGTAACCAAACAAATTCACATTTTCCTTCCCATACACATTTATTGTACTAAAATATCTTCTACAAATGAGAGACCTACCTATCTTTAAATATACACTGGATAGCTAGAAGAAGAGTAATTTTTAAATAAGGGGCGCATGAGAAATTTTATGGGTGGTCAATTTAAACTAGTTACTCAGTAAAATGCAAAGGAATGAAGCCCATCTTATTTAGAACGGTTTACATAGCACCACAGCAAGTGTGCCAAAAGAATTTCAGAGCTTATGGGCAAGTCTTTACAATGATGAGATCAAGTTATGTTTCATAAGATGCAAGGTCTTGTCACCTTCTACTTCGGTTTCAGTACTCTATTGTCTTATTACCTTTGATTTAAGATGCAGTTGCCAGTGTCCATTATCAGCTCGTCAACCTGAAGCTAGCGGAGAACTCTCATGAATGTGTAAGGTATCTTGGCTTAAACTTATAGCACTTCCATCTTCATCAGCCAAATAGAGAACAAGGTAGGCATTTTTCTGTAATTCATCATTCCACCTAGATCTTTCACATGATCAATCAAGATAGAATCACATAAATATCAGCTAATTAAGACACGTAAAACAGAAAAATCAGATATGTCCGCATGGTATTTATTGCACATTCTTGAAACGTCAAATGTTGCAGTATTTCAGACATACTTCTCACTCTGCACATCAATCCTTACTGCCCAATCACCTCTATGGCCACTGCCACCCCCTTTAGCTTTCAAGAAACTTGTTTCCAGGGTCATGTCCTGGTCAACCAGAAGTTGATGTCCAAAATGACGTACATTATGCTGTGTCCACCCATATTTGCTTAGATCATCATAGTCTTGACAGACATGTCGTATAAACTACCTTCCATCCTTCAAACCAATCCACATCAATCCAGCAATTAAAGAGCGAGGAGTCCTGCCAATCACAAGAACAATAGCTAATTAACACCATACCTCCTCTGATTTGCTAAGGAAAATTAAAGCCAAGAATGGAAAGAAAATACACAAAGAATGAAGAATCAACATGGTAGCACTACAAAACAGCACAGATTTCTTAAGGCCATTCCCATTATAAGCATAAAAAGTTAAACAAATAATATCATGCTTAACAAAAGAAAGCAAATCTGAGAAAACAAAACAAAAGAAAACAGAAGAAACCATGCTTTGCTACTAAAAAAATTTGGTAATACCTTGAGCGGATTCCAAAATAAACATGAGGACGATAGGTTCCCCAATACAAGCTCTCTTTGTGCTCGCCTTGAAACTGTCACAGCGAGCCAATCATCCATTTTTCAGCGCCAATGACTAAAACAAACCAAAAAAGGA